CCCCAAAACCCCAAAACCCCAAAACCCCTTAAGATAAATTTTAGTTTTTTGAAGTTTCTCACGAATAAATAATTCAGTATTCTTATTATATTTGGAATTTCAATTAAGTGCACTACAATCTCACAATCAAGCAATAAATCATTATTAAAATAAAATGTCAAAGTAAGTTACACAACAAAATACACTTCCTGAGGAGAACACTATAATTGATAAATTCCTTGAATTGAAGGATACCTATCAAAAAAAGAAGGGATTTAATGATGATGATTTACCAGTAAGTTTCAATATTCCTCAATCTTTCCAAATATTATAAATTTGAAAGTAATTAAGCAATTTTATAGTCATTGAAAAATGTGCTTAAAGATATCCCTCAATTAAAGGATATTCAGTCCAGCATTAGGAATGAGACTCTTGGGTTTTATGAAGTTTATGAATTAAAACAAAACGAAATACTTGTGAAGAAGGATAATCCTAATGTTTCTCTATATATACTTGTATAAGGCAAGCTCAAGAAGTCACCTCATGCTCCATGGAATAGTTATAAGGTAATATTGGCATTTGGTATTTATTTTATTTCAGGAGGAGGAAGACAGAAAAGAGCTTGACTTGATTACCATTAGATAGAGTTACTGGGAGTTTGAAGGTCTTCAAGCATTTGGAAACTTTGAGTTGCTTCAGGTCGATAAATTTAATAATCCTTAGGCATAAAAATGGAATCCATGTTACATCTACTCAATTGAACAAAGCATTGTCTTTGCATTGAATTTTGATAAGGTTTTTAAGTATATGCAAAAACTTTATGAAACACAATAGAATCATGAAAAATCTAATTTCCTTGTTAAAAATGTCCCTGGACTCTCAAACTAGTTAACTTCGAATAGAGAAAAGATGATTTCACTTTTTAAACCCGTTTCATTCATTCAGAATTAAGTTATCATTCAAGAAGGAGCTATTCCTTAATAGGCTTTTATTATAATAGAAGGTCACTGCAAGTTATAATCTCACCAAGTGCCTATCTAAAAGAGTATTTAATCAGAGGATCCTAAAAAAGGTGAAAACTTTTTGTCCTCAAACAGAGGTTACTTCTCGAAGACTATGAATACGTTTTAGATTGGTGACATTAGTGAAAACTAATGGATTGGAGATGAATTATTACTCATGACTATGCAAGAACGATTTGAATATCTCTAAAATCAGATAAAAACTGAAGAAGGTGGAGATGATGCCAGCAAGACAATGTCTAAGTCACAATGGGGATTCAACTTGAACAATGAAAAATCGTAGCCTACCATAAGATCAGTTAAAGTCAAGCCATAAGGCATGGCATATTCAGTCATAGCTAAGACTAATGTAAGAGCTTTTAGTATCACAAAAGAAGATCTAATGTAAAAACTTTCAAAAGATATTCAGCAATTGATAAATAAGCAAGCTCTAAAGAAGACATAGTGGATTTAGAGAAGATTTAAGGAAATCCAGTACGACGTTAAGAAAATATTTGGCATGGAATAATCTTACCAAAATTATGTAGATAAATCTAAAGAAATAGGGAAGTTATATCCTCAAGCTACTAAATATTCTCTTAAAAGTATTAGCATCCAGAAGATAAATTCTCCTGTAGAAATGTCTAAAGATGATGATCAAAAAGATTCTGTAAGTTATACTTCCTTAATATCATATTTTTTACAGCCAGAGTAACACTTCAAAAAGGGAATGCTAACGACTCAGACAATGAATTTCTCAAAGATGAAAAAGTCCTCTTCAGTTCAAACTTTATAAAGAAGCTATAATGAATCGTTTGAGGGGTCTCCTGAGATTCCGTCAAAGAAAACATAAAAATTGCAATTGCCTTCAATATAAGAAGTAATGGAGCCATTTATTTCACATTCAGAGACTTAAAAATTCCATAACAATCCAGCAATCGCTTATTCTCCTTCAACTCATTCAAAGAAAGATTTAATGCGTAACGATTACATCAGTGTATCAGACAAGATTGCAAATTAACTTTTAAATGACAGTTCAAATTAAGAATCTGTAACTAATAGAGGAAGTTAATAGAATTTCGAAAAGATTATAATGGGAGCAGCATCATGCTACAAATACACCAAAGAAAAGAAGCTTTATTTGCCAACTTTAATTAAAACTATAGATGTAGATAAAAAGTTGCAAATAGTCAACAAAAGTAGACTTAATGGAATTGGGCCAGTAAAAGGAAGCTAGGAAATACCTTTACTTAAGACCATTAATACTGATAGCTATAATTACGAGAAAAGAGTTCAATTTGAGGACATTCAAAGCTCCTCTAATTTTGGATTTGGAGCAAAGCGTAGAGGTAGCTAACTAGACTGACCTATAATTATTGATTATTTTATTCATATTAAACTTACTGCTAAACTAATATCTAATTCAAAGATTTAATCATAATAAATACAAATGATATCTAAGTATCTTCTAAACTCAAACAGTTTGCATCATAATATAATAAAGCTTAGTCAACTTGCACATAACAGGTCTTTCAGATCCTTCTCTACAGCATCACCTCCAGACTAGAAAGTTATATTTGAAGATCACTCCAATCTAGTTTTTGAATTTAAACTTAATGCTCCTAAAAATCTTAACTCTCTTGATCTAGATATGGTTGATCTAATGCTCGGGAAACTCAAATAATGGGACAAAAATCCTTAAACAGCGCCTAGAGTAGCATTAATTAGTGGAGTTGGAGAGAAAGCATTCTGCGCAGGTGGAGATATCAAATAAATATTCGAGTCAGTTAATGGTAAGGCTCCTGCTAACATGAAAAGCGAATTCTTTGCCCGAGAGTACTTGTTGGATTATTCCTTAACTAGGATGAAACCAAAGCAGATAAGTATCTGGAATGGCATTGTTATGGGAGGTGGTGTTGGTGTTTCAGCTCATGCTGACATCCGAGTAACTACCGATAATACTGTCTATGCTATGCCAGAAACTGGCATTGGCTTCTTTACAGATGTAGGTGGTTCCTATTTCTTATCTAGAATAAAAGATAATATTCACCTTGGTCTTTATCTAGGAATTACAGGGCACAGACTAAAGGCAAGAGATCTAGTTAAATGGGGTATTGCAACTCATTATGTCCCAAAGGATAATTTAGCCCAGCTCTATTAAGATTTGGTGTAAAATATCGCAACTCAGACGACGGATGCAGAGATAGTAGATATTGTAGCAAGGCATTCAGATCTTTCAGCTTAGCAAGACAAAATTGAACATGCTGATGAAATTAATCAAATATTCTAGGATGATTCAATCTAAAACATAGTTAAAAGACTTCAAGAGAGTAACACTGAGTTTAGCCAAAAAACACTGAAATAGATTTCAACACTCTCACCCTTTAGTATGGCTTTAGTTTTCGAATAAATTAAGAGAGGCAAGCATATGAATCTAGAGGATGCATTTAGAATGGAATACAAACTTTCACAAGGATTTTGCAGTGATACCAAAACTGAATTTATGGAAGGTGTTAGAGCATTACTTATAGATAAGGATAAGAATCCCAAATGGAAGCACAAATCTATAGCTGAGGTTACTTAGGAAGAGGTTAAAGCTTATTTTGACAGAGCAGACACACTTAATCTTGATATCTCAAAGCATTGAACAAATTGAATTTTATTGATTTTTCTAATTTTGTTACTTAATATCATCAAGGGGTTTTGGGGTTTTGGGGTTTTGGGG